GAACTTCAAAGCGATCTTGAGCTCGATTTGCTTCTGAACATCAATGGCGACTCGACGTGATGGTGCGTTTAATGTTGGTAGCGGCTCTGAAATAAGGCAAGGAGCATCTTCGAGCAACGATTCGTTTTTCCTACATGGATCAGATCATACTGGAATGGTGCTGGTTTCACATCAGCTCACCGGTAAGAATTTTCTCTCTTGGAGAAGATCGATGACTATTGCCTTGGGTGCTAAGAGAAAGTTAGGTTTTGTTAATGGTGAAATAGCTCAACCTGATGTTGATAGTGATGAATATGATGAGTGGAGAAAGGTCGATTTGACTGTTTTATCATGGATCTTAAACTCGTTGTCAAAGGAAATTGCTGAATCGGTAATATATGCTGAAACTTCGAAGGAACTTTGGGATGACATTTGTCAGAGATATGGAGAGAGTAATGGTCCTATGCGATATAAACTGCAGAGGGAAATAAATACTTTAACGCAGGGTAGTAGCTCGGTGATGGAATACTTCAACAAGTTAAAAAAATTATGGGATGAGTTTGCTTGTGTAGTTCCTAATCACTCTTGCAACTGTCCCAAAGGTCTGTTAGCAGCTCAGCTCGAAACTGAAAGTAAGTTGATTCAATTCCTGATGGGATTAAATGATAGTTATGAGCACTTGAAGAATCAGATAATGTTGTCTGATCCATTGCCAAGCCTAAACAAGGCATATTCAATGCTGCTCTCAGCTGAAAGACAAAGGTCTGTGACAAATAGCCTAGACAAAATGGAAAATATGGCTATGAATGTAAAATATGAAGGCTATGGTAGAGGACAAACAGGACAAGGAAGAGGATATGGTGGAAGAAGTGGAAATTGGCAAAGTGGAAGGGGAAGAGGTGGTTTTAGGCTAAGCAAAGAGGAAAGAGCAAAGCTGTTATGTGATAAATGTGGAATGCATGGACACACAATAGCTACATGCTTCAAGATTCATGGGGTACCAGAATGGTACAAGGAGCTGAAGGTTCAGCAAAATAAACCATATGCTGGCAGTGTGGAAGTCTATGAAGATGGAGGACAGTGGGAAGAGCAAAGACTTGAAAGGAAAGCCTCAGCAGAAAGTGAATTATCAATGGTAGTAAAGCAGCTACAAGAAATTACTCAGTACATCAAAGGTAAAGAAAGCATGGATGGAAAGATTGACTATGCACAGATGGCTGGTTTTAACAAGAATGAAGAACATGATGGAGTTCATTTTGCCCTAACAATAGCAGAAGATGTGAACAATGGAGAGTGGATCATAGACACTGGGGCCAGTAGACACATGTGTGGAAATCTGAATATCATGAAGAATGTTTCTATACTGAAAGAGCCTATCTCAGTGTGTTTACCAGATGGTTCACATAAGAAGGTGAATACTGGTGGAATAGTTACAGTGACCAGTGCTCTCACATTGAAAGAAGTTCTGTATGTCCCAGGGTTCAAGTACAACCTTCTTTCAGTCAACCAACTGTGCCTTGATGAAAGGGTGAAGTGTTCCTTTTCTTCTACTGCATGTCTGCTTGAACATTGTGACAGTGGGAGAATAGTTGGTGAAGGTACATCAAAGGGAAATCTGTACATTTTGAGAAAGGATAATGTGACCAAGGACAAGGTAAGCCCTCTGGGGTGTAACTTCTCTTTAGGAATGTGGCATAAATGTCTCGGTCATGCCAGTTATAGTACAATGCAGCATCTTCCTTTTCTCAAAGGGAAATTTACAGATTCAGAAAGTAAGGCAGTTCAGTCATGTGAGGTATGTTTTAAGGCCAAACAACACAGACTTCCTTTTCAGAACACTCACATACATGCTCATAGGTGTTTTGAGGTGTTTCATGTGGACATTTGGGGACCCTGCAAAGATGAGTCACTTACAGCCACACCATTCTTTCTAACTGTGGTTGATGATTTTAGTAGAGCAGTGTGGATCTTTCTTATGACTCATAAGTCACAAGCTGCTAAGTTTCTTAGTGAATTTGTGCAAATGACAGAAACACAATTTGACACAACTGTCAAAAAGATAAAGTCAGACAATGGACAAGAGTTTTTGAGCAAGGAACTGCAAAATTTTTTTAAGCAAAAGGGAATAGTTCATGAAACAAGTTGTCCCTACACACCACAACAAAATGGTGTAGTAGAGAGAAAGCATAGACAGTTACTTGAGATTGGAAGGGCTTTGATGTTTCAAGGGAAACTACCTCTGAAATTTTGGCCATATTCAGTTCAAGCTGCAGCCTTCATTATCAATAGATTACCAAGTGCAGTCTTGGATTGGAAAACACCATTTGAAAAGGTTTATAACAAGCAACCAGACTACACAAGACTGAAGCCTTTTGGGTGCTTAGCTTATGCTGCAAAGGTTCATCCATTGAAATCAAAATATGCCACAAGAGGAAGTAAGTGTGTTTACCTAGGGAGTGCAGTGGGTCACAAAGGGTATCAATTGTATGATGTTGACAGTGGTGAGGTTTTCATAGCAAGAGATGTGGTATTCTTTGAAAATGAGTTTCCTTCTATCACACAGTCCACAGATGATACAGTGCTACCACACCATGTTGAAGAGGCTGAGCAGATTGAAGCTCCTCCCTTAGACATAGAACATACTCAGAATGAGGTGACACATGACACAGAAATGAGAAGAAGTCACAGAACCAGAAGTGCACCTCAATGGCACAATGACTACATTTTAAGAGACATCTCAGCACAGTTCACCAGCACTCAATCTCTACCACAAAATGAGTTTATTGCCAATATTTACACTGAAAAGGAGCCATCACATTTTAACCAGGCTGTCCAGCATCCTTCTTGGATAGAGGCTATGCAAAGGGAATTGGATGCACTTGAGAGTAATCACACATGGGAACTCACTACTTTACCACAGGGAAAGAAGGCTATTGGTTGTAAGTGGGTGTTCAAAATCAAAAGAAAGGCTGATGGGTCAGTTGAAAGGTTTAAGGCTCGGCTGGTTGCTAAAGGATATAACCAGATAGAAGGTGTGAACTATTTTGATATTTTCTCACCAGTAGCAAGACTTGTCACAGTGAGATTTCTTATAGCTATGGCAATTCATAAAAACTGGGACTTACATCAATTGGATGTCAACAATGCCTTCCTTCATGGGACATTGTCAGAAGAAGTGTTTATGCAGCCTCCACAAGGGTATGATAAGGCTAAACCAGGACAGGTTTGTAAGCTTGTTAAGAGCCTCTATGGGCTTAAGCAAGCCTCAAGAGAATGGAATCTTGAGCTCTGCAGGAAGTTATCTCAGTTTGGTTTGCTCCAGTCCTCATATGACCATTGTTTGTTCACCTTAACCAAAGATAATGATTTCTTGGCACTCCTAGTCTATGTAGATGATGTTCTCGTCACTGGCTCTTCATCTTCTCTAATTCATCAACTAAAGCTGTTCCTAGATCACCAGTTTACAATTAAAGACTTAGGGACTGCCAAATTCTTCCTTGGCATTGAACTGAACTACTCAGACCAAGGAGTGTTATTATGTCAAAGGAAGTATATATTAGACATTCTTGGTGATTTGAATATGCTCAACTGTACAGCAGCCCCTACTCCTTTACCTCTTGGCATTCATTTGGATTCACAAGCTGGTAGTCCTTTAGAACAACCTGATACCTACAGAAGACTAATTGGAAGGCTGCTATATCTTGGACTCACCAGACCTGATGTCACCTATGGGGTTCAACAACTCAGTCAGTTTGTCAACAATCCACATGCTCCTCATTGGCAAGCTGCTCTTCATATACTGAGGTACTTAAAAGGGTCATCTTCCCTAGGACTGTTCTATCCTCACAGCAGTTCATCCTTCACTTTAGTGGCCTATTGTGATGCTGATTGGGCCACCTGCAAAGACACTAGACGATCGGTTACCGGGTTTTGTATTTTTCTTGGAGATTCCCTTATTTCGTGGAAAAGCAAGAAACAACACACGGTCTCCAAATCGTCTGCCGAAGCTGAATACAGAGCAATGGGTTCCACGGTTTCCGAGCTCATGTGGCTGCATTATCTTGCTCAAGAGTTTCATGTCACTTTGACCTTTCCCATTCCATTGTGGTGTGACAATCATGCGGCCATGCACATTACGGCCAATCCCGTCTTTCACGAACGTACTAAACATCTCGAGATCGACTGCCACATTGTTCGGGACAAATATAAACAAGGTTTCATCACTCCCCTTTACGTGGCCTCTATGCACCAGCTTGCGGATTTGTTCACCAAGATCATAACCGGTGCGCGATTCTCTGCTCTTGTGTCCAAGCTGGGCATGCTGCGTTCTCATCATGGCCCATCTTGAGGGGCGGGTGTTGGAAATGACCTGAAGCACGTTGCATGAGAGTTCAGTTCACAGTTGGGCCGCTCCGCTTCTTTTTTCATTTCAGTTGGGCCGCTCTTTTTCATTTCAGTTTGGGCCGTTTTCTTTTGGTTGTAATGTTTTCCTTTTTTATTTCGTTTTACGGCGTCGTTTGGGATTAATAAGAACGACGCCGTTTCTAGTCGTCCTCTTCACTTTTTGTCGTCTTGCATGGGATAAAACCCTGTACGTATCTTGCATTTTGTTTTGGTTGAGTTGAATGAAATGAGCTAAGAAAATTTCCCAAATTATTATCTCCACAAACGTTCGATTTTACATATGTCTTTAATTTTCTCAAAGATCCTCTAAGTTTTTGTATTTGCAAACTGTGCTCTTGGCTTTTGAAGCTAGACAACATACATGCACACATTTGTTAGAACAAAAAATATGTAATTAACGCAGCCACATATCAAGTAAACTAAAAGTCAATCTATCCAATGTAATACAAAAGATAGATTCTTAATTAATTCCCACATTATGTATTAAAACTCCCATTTGATCTCGATTCTCTTTATTATCCATCCTCTTAATCCTCAATGTTACGCAAACAGTTGGGCTCGACAATCGACTTAATTATCAGTTCGGTACTGATGCGATGGCGACAAGATACTAGTCGTGACTTAACCGTAGAGTAATAATAATGGCCAAAACGTCAAAACCAGAAGCACAAGAATTTCGGCGAGCTCGGGCAGTCGACGAGCTCTGTTCCCTTTTCCGGTAACATTCTTGAAATTCTCTTGCTGGCCTTTCACGACCTCCACCGGGAACACGCACCCGACTGTCGACGGGTCCTCGGTCACAACCTGTCCAAGCCCATTGAACTTACACGCCCTTTCATCCTGGAAAAATGCCTGGAAATACATGTTGAACGCGTACGACACGTTCTGCCACCTGTCGAGCCCGCTGCACGACCCCTTGGGGTACATGCTCGTGCAATCCCCCGTCGCGCACGCAAACAAGTACGCCTCCTCCACCTTCATGTCGTCTTCGTCCTCCGTGGGCCCAAGCACGCACCACCGATGAGGCATTTGCTTGATCCCGCGGGCTCGGGCCGGGAACATAACCCGGCCATGGCCCGTGAGGTCGACCCGGTACTTGGGCTCGCCGTTTGACCGGTAGATCCCCCAGTGGCGTCCGTACGCGAGGAAGGGCGGGTTCAGGTTCTCGTCCGTGAGCGCGTGCAAGTAGATGTCGATCGGCTTCCCCGGGAGCTTGTGGCTCCCGCGATCGCTAGCAACGTACGGGAGAAGTGCCTCGAAGAACCGCTCGGCGGTGGCGGCATTGGCGTTGATAAACCCGTCAGTGGGCCACCCGACCTGGGTGATGATGAAATCGACATCGCCGTACCCGAGCTTCTCGAGGGCCCACGCGAACGCGTCGTACGCAACCTCGAACACGTCAGTGTAGACAGCGTCGCCGACGTCGGTTATGGCGTGGGACGAGCGCCCGTCGGCTATGGCGAAGCTGAGGTCGGTGATGTTGAGGACGCGCATGAGCTCGACCAGGAAGAACTCGATGCAAACGGGGGCACCGCTTGCCCGGATGATGTCGAGGTGCCTCACGAACTGGGTCCGGAATGACTCTCGGATCGTCGCCTCGGATGGCTTCGCAAAGTCGTCGAGTATGATGTAAGGGTGTGGAAACGTGGCCTTGACGTAACCGTAGCCGGCGTCGTTGAGAGCAATTTGGGTGTAGTTGAAGGCGTCAATCATCCGGCTCTGGAGTTGGGTGTCGTTCATCGCCATGCCGAAAATTTCGGTCCCAACCATGACGCGCCTGGACATTTATAGTAACAAAAAATAGGAACCAAAACGAGAGAACATACAAATTCAGCTGTAATCGAATCGAATCAGTCAGTCTTAGGCATTTGAGCTCGTTTTACGTTTAATTGTTGTTCGTTCGTTTATTTTTCAAGCAGAAATTCGTGTTCGAGCTTATTCATTTAATTGTTCGTAAAGTTTGAGTTCGCTTTTGAATAGTTTAGGAAACAAACTTTTATTCGAGAAACGACATTCGATTCGTTAACAGCCCTGTATGTAAATAAAAAGAATATTATTTTGACACGTGCCGGGCAAATGCGCGTACGTTACATTGGAGGGTCCAAACCATGGAGACTTCTTGCTGACCCAAGCTTGGGCGAGGTCATAGGTTGCAACCTTCTTCCAGTCGGGAATGGTAATGGTGAGGTCGATGCCGCTCCCGGCAAACGCCTGTAATAGGTCTTCCTCAGATGTGTAAATCCTAGCGGCCGGGACGTGGTTTTGCAAGAGGAGGTCGACCACGACAGATGGGATCAGGCGTTGCGCGGTCGAACGTCCCCAATTTATGCCTATCACGCCGCCCTCCGTAACCACGATATTGTTGCATATTGTGGTGATTGCAATGAATATTGCAAGAATGCGTGATGCAGAATGGATATTCATGGTTTTGGAGGGCATGGGGAGTTTTGGGCTGTAAGGCAACGAGCCTATTTTAGGCCATAATAGAGGTATGCATTTGGCTATGGCTCTTGATTTCGATTTTATTTTATTTTTCTTGTGGGAGTTCAAAGGCTGTGTTTGGAGGTTGACCAATTTTTGTTTGACTTTTTTAAGGACCGTTGATCGGGGAGATTTTTATGCTTTGGTGTAGAAGAGGTTTTATGATGGACACAGAATTTTTATTGTTGTCATTTTGGTACGTAAGAGATAATTCATTGATGGTTCTATATTTAGATGCATTAATTGTTTGGTATAACATTTTTTTTTTTTTCCAAAATTTACTACACATGTTTGCATGGCAGCCGATTTTCTTACTTTCTAGCAGTTCATGAGGCCTAGGGATGAAAACGATCGGGAACGATCGGCATAGGGCTCAACCATTTCCACTTTCATATTTTTTTTTCGAAAACGAAAATGATACGATAATGTCGGAAACGAAAACGACATCGGTATTCCGGTAATATCGAAAACGAAACTATCCGATCGAAAATACATCGATAACGATCGAAATATATTAAAACGGTATTTAAAAAACGATAAACACACCACACTATAAAATATAGCATTAAAACATAAATTGAAATATTCTCACGGCATAATAGTGGCAAAATCCAAATTAAAATCCACACCATTTGCTATAACAAAATCCATACAAATTCCAATAACTAGCAATTGAATTGTGACTTGTCCATCAAATTCTCATAGAATAATAGTAGCAATTGAAATTTGAAACATGAAATGGGAGCAATTAGGTGAGAAATCAACCATGGAACCACCAAATCCACAAAAAAACCACAACAAACGAAATCCAGAATTCAAAACACAAATCACTATTGGCGTGAATTCAAAGTGGGGTAGGCGGCGGCAGCTGGAGCCTGTAGCGGGTGGTGCGGTTGCGACGTTGATGGGAGTGGGGCGCGGCGGCGACGAGCAGGTGACGAGAGTGACGACGAGCAGGCGCGGCGAATTGCGATGGCCGTCGGCCGATGGAAGAGATGACAGGGTTGGACTGAAGGGGATTTCAGGATTTCGAGAGTGAAGACCGAAAGTGTGAAGGGGATTTCAGGATTTGGGCACAGGGTTGGGCTGAAGGGGATTTGGGCATTTGGCCCATTTGGGATTTGGATTGGGCTTTATAATTAAAAGTGAGCCTAGTATGAGTTGGGTCGGTATTACCGACGGTAAAATACCGTTTAAATACGGTAATTTTCGAAAACGATCGGAAAAGGGCTAAACCGTTTTCGTTTTCATTTTTGAATTTTTTTACCGTTTTCATTTCCGTTTTTCCGGTTACCGTTTCCGTTTAGCCTCCAAATCCAAAAAAATTTCGAAAACGATTCTTGGTAATCGGAAATTACCGTTTCCTTTTTCATCCCTAATGAGGCCTATAGGAATTAAGATTGTACGTCTAACAATTGTGTATTTTTCTTATGCAATAATTATTTATTTTATTATGTAGGAAAGACATCTAAAGAAAGAATAAAAGATTTCATTAAAAAGTCAAATGTGCTTTTTTTTGTTAATTTGTTTTTTTAAAAAAATGTGTGCATATTTTATAAAATATTTATACACAATATTTTATTTTAAATGTATTTACATAATTTTACATTAATAAATTATACTAATGTACATTAAATATTTTTTATTCCATAAAATAAAAAGACAAAGACTAATTTTATAAATTTTAATAAATAATAATAACATTATATGACAACAAATTTTATAATAAAATAATTATTGAGTATTAGATGTTGAACAAGAATAATTAAAGTTGTTATTTTTCCTTAAACCAAAAAATAAGCATGTATACTAAAATTAAACTGATATTAGTATAAACGTGTCAGCGAAATAATTTATTAATAAACTTATTGACTAGTCTCAACCTGTCCAAATTTTAACGTTTTAGCTAAAAAAATATTAATTAAAAGATGTGAAAAGTTAATGATCATTTGTGGCCTAAATAGACCGGTTTATGACAATGACTCCTTTACTAGTTTGGAGAAAATGGGACATAGGTAGTTTACGTTATCTATACTTATCTATACTTATATTAAAAGGAGTCATATTTACCAAATTAAGTAGCCAGAAAAGTCAACAGCATTTATTGCATTATTATTTCCGTATTATACAATTTATACTTCTATTTATTTAATTGATTTATTTATTTGTTTTATTTTAAAAAGATAAGTATAATAAAAAAAATTTAATAATAAAAAAATTAAATACCAAATAAAAATGTACACTTTGACTTATTTGATTATATTTGGTATTTGATTATACCAAATATATTCCTATTTAGTATACACATTAAATACTTACTAAAGTATTTATTTGTTTTATTTGTCAAAGTTAAGTATAGATTTGTTTATATTATCAAATCATAAAAAAATATTAAATCCATATTGTAAAAAAAAA